TCTTTACGGTGATACCAACCGCGTGTTCTTTGTACAAAATTATAACCCCACTTTCTTCCAAGTTCAGTTGTGAATAAATTTTGAACATTTTGAACAATAAATCAATAAGAACAATAAGGAAGAGACATTTTCTTTCAAAAGTGTGTTCATCAATTTCTCTGCGACAAAATAAATAAGCAGAGGGGGGCGTAACTTGTTTCAACGGAATACTATCGCAAAATGGTTACGTGGTGTTCTGGATCATCATCGACTGTTTCGTCAAAGCGATTAACCAAAAAGTCTTTTTCTAGCAAGCAGCTTATTTCCACGAAACGCAAAACGTCTAGTTTCGTCTGTTCACCATCCCGTTACAGTGATACAACCTCTTACAACAATAACTGGATTGAAACTCGTGCATTGTTGTCAACATTGGAGACATCTTCAGCGGCGTTCTTTCCATCATCGGCATCTGGGTTTCTAGTTCTTCTTTGGGAAACATCTATGGTTAATTTCTGTTCTCATTGAAACAGCACAAAGTCGGATTGTCTTCCCCGAGACCTTCTTTTCTTTTCCTGAAGAAGGATTCTCACTATCTATAGAGCAGAGACGTAGAAACGGGCCAATATTAGGGCCCGACGCCTTGAAGGGCCTCCACTGAGCGCTGGAAAGCGAGTGGTCACTTTTCTTCCTGCAGCTGTAGTTTTCGTGGAGGTTGTAGTTGTTTAGAAATCTTCGTGTACATTCTTCTCATCTGTTCAGTGACGTAGCATAGAAGACAGGAAATAACCTTCCGTTCTGTTCAATATTGCATTGTTTGAATGCTCCTCTATAAAAGTTTTTCTCATTGGCGGTGAAGTTCTCTGAAAGTCTGTTATTGGATAATTTCGCTACACATATTTCACGAAGAAGAATTCTTAACGTAGAACCATTTTCTACGTATACCATCGATAAATTTCCTAGTCTGTTATATTTACGAGATACTAGACGGTTTCTTGTCTTAGTATATTTTTATTACGCATCTCTGTTTAACAGAAACCCACTCTTTGGTTTTTGGCACACACAACTTTGACTTGTTTTTCTTTTGAATAGAGGAATTGGCTCGCTGGCTCGTTAGCCAATCATTAGCTGGGAATTCTTTATGGCGTCACAATGTTTTACAGGAAAGGAAACAAGCCGTAAGCAAATTGTGTCTCGCTCTCTCTGCTTGGGAGTGGGTGTGTGTGTGTGGGGCCCGCTGTATACCTTAATAAAGCAGTTGAAGTGGTCCTGCTGACTCAGTTTCTCGGCGTGCTACAGACAATTGTAGTGGCCGTACGCTGACACCTTGGGCGATAAATGTGGGGTCTATATAAGGCATAACTTCCCACAACACAGTCACTTTGTTGCCTTCAATTTTGTTAGTACTCAAGGAGCACTTTTACATTCCACTTCGAAGCATTCTCAAAGATTACATATCCAAGCTAAAGCAGCACAGAAGACAAATATTTTGTGGTGTGTATGTATTTTGTGTGTGCGCGAAAATATTGAAGATGAGTCTGGACCAAGACCAGAGAACGGATAACATGACATTCTTTCTGGACGGAATATCCTGGCTTAGCCTCATGTTGGATTTGGCTTTACTGATTAGCATTGCTGTGTTCCAGGTGGGTTTATGTGATTTCATACGGCGTAACATTAAAGAGAAAAGCTATTCTGTCACACAGTTTAGTGTCAGATATAGATGGAGTTCTTATCAGACTATTGATTTGTTTACCGTATAAGCCCGACTATAAGTTTGTGTGTCCGAATGTGTATCCCCCCTATCGTTGCTGGGCAACGACTCCGTAAATGTACCCTTATCATACGCTAGGGAACAGGTCGGTAAAAAAGTTGCAATGGAAACGAATACACAAGTAGCAACAGAAGAATTGTTGAACGGGTCCTTTTATACGCGGTCCTCGTCGTATCAAGGAAAGAATGCGAGTAATTCTTCCCAGAACTTTTTATTCTACTAGAAAATTACAGAAGGATTTTTTTTTTCAGAAACTGAATATGTCATTTAGTTCTGACGTTCGTAAGCAAAGTGAAGCAGAAACGGCGCTGTTAGGAAATAGTGAATTCAAAATTTAACGTTAAATTTGATTCTAGGTATTTTCAAAATTATCATTAGAATCAGAAGTTAGTTTTTCTCATGGGCCGCGCAATAGCTCAAGCGGTTAGTCGCTGGCTTCCCAGCGCGGCGGCCCGGGTTCGATCCCTGGTCTGGTCAAGTGGGATTTGTGGTGGACAAAGTGGCGCTGGGGCAGGTTTTCTCCGAGTACTTCGGTTTCCCCTGCCAATCTTCATTCCACCAACTGCTCCACAATCACCCTCACCTATCATCTGGGGCTGGTACAATAGGCCAGAAGTGGCCGCAGTACAAGGGACTTAGTCCCACCCCACTAGCAATAAAAAAACTGATCTTCTCATAACGATTATCTTCATGTTTATGGAGGTCTCGGAAAATAAGGCAACCCCACTTTTCTAAGAAGTAGTATCTGAAAAGAAAAACTCGCCTTATATTCGGGCATATTTCTTGCTTGTTTTTATACAGGATCATCGGAAAAGAATGCCGGGATTATAAAAAGAAACTATCACTCAAAAACTTTTAAATATGTCGATATAATTGAAGTGTTAAATTGCTAAGAAATATCTGGAATTTTTGTCTTATCATAGTGTTTCGATATGTGCTGCATGTGTGTCTCGGAAGATATCGAAACCTTATTCGACCTTGTGCCAGGTCGGCTGAACCGCACCTGGACTTACGGTTATGATGGCTCTCGTGTTCCGGAGTTCCCNATGTAGCCCCCCCCTAGAAAAAATCCCTAGAAGTAAAATCTGTCCTTTTGGGGGGGGGGGGCAGAAAATTGGCCCTACCCTCGGAACCCATGCCTTAGGCACAAGTTGTAACAATAGGCCGACAGACAAAAAGCAACTCAACGCCCCTCTTTACCCACCATCAACTGAGCATATCCAAAACTTACGTTCTTTCTCAGAATTTTAAAACTTGAATCACTTCGATATGTTTAATAACAGTTTTTTAATGATAGACTTCTATAATCCTGGCACTTTTTTCGATAACCATGTATTTATAATTAATTAGTTCACAATTCGTGTTTAATTTATAGAACATAAAGGATAGCTCTTTACTGTATAAACTGAGAAATTACGATTTAACTGTTCTACTGTCCAGTAGTTAGGAATTAAACGTGCATTTGTGGGGTTGTTTCATTTTATTGTATGGTTCATATTTACAAGCTGAGAAGCTGTGAAACATTTGAATTGCCTGTACCGGAAATTTTAAGTGCAACTGAACTTGATAAACTGCAGGAGATCATGTACAGCCATGTAGCACAACTTTTCGGTTTGCCATCTGCACTTTATCTATGGAAGTGCGCTGCATCTCAGTTTTGTTTATGGAAACATAACAGTAGTTTCAGTGGCTGGAATGTTGTATACCGCACCATTTCAGTTTCATTTCATTGTCTCCTACCGATTTCCAGGCGTGCTCATCTTACCAATACTGAGAAACCCCAATCAAAAGACACTTTTTCTAAACTCCAAATGCCAGTTAACTTCTCTTAGGCTCATACAGTATAGTAAAGGTGTCCCTGTGCTTAACTAATTAAGCACTGCGCCGTGAAGACGTATGGGGAAATGTAGATATATACCTTCTTGAACTCGACGCTAGCTGAAGGTGGATGATCAGCTTCACGCCCCTTCTGCTTTACCCCTATGGAAAGAGCCCCCGGTACCCACTGGATAGCAAGTTTTGTGGACCCCAGTCTGGACGACATGGAGAAGAGAAAAATGTTGATCTTACCGCTACTCGAACTCCGATCCCCGGTCGTCCAGCCCGTAGCCAGTCGCTATACCGACGGAGCGACCCCGGTTTCTTCAGTATAGTGCGAATTGAAAACCCTGTAACAGTTGTAGGTATCACCATTAAGATAGGTCTTTTGTTACTTTAGTTTTGTCTGTAACTTGTCTCGAGTTTGCGCCCCTTTAACTTTCTGTACAGTCACATGAATTTGTTTGGGTGACGCAATCATTTGAGACCATGACACGTGTTGATTTATGGTTGTAGCTTATATTAAGTTCAGATTTACTGTTTTGATTCGATTTTGAGCGTATTAATATAAGAAATGCGCTGAATGGTGTAAACACCCAATTCTGACTTTCGATGAAAAGTATTTGATATTCCCATTTCTCTAAGTCCTGATATTAGACTCGCCAATAGCTTTCTTCTCCAGTACACAGCATTGCAAAGATAAATAAATAACATTGTATTTAATGGGATGACAGGTTGTCAAAGTATATGATATTTAAATTTAGTAAATTTTTGGGCCTGTAATTTTAAACACACCGTATAAAATGTAGTGATAATGGATGTATTAAAACAGGTAACTCCATGGAGCTGAGTCCTTAAGAAGCTGCCAGTCCCTCAGCTACTTAAGAATTTCGCAACATTTTATGGAACCTGAAGATTCATTACCGTATTCACAAAAACCAGCCACTGGTCCCTATCCTGAGCCAAATTAATCCAGTCCAAACCACTATCCAGTTTCTCTAAGAATCATTTTACTATCCTTCCCACCTACGTCTAGGGCTTCCTAGTAGTCTCTTTCCTTCTGGATTTCCCACCAAAATCGTATATGAATTCATCTTCTCTCCCATGCGTACTACATGCCTTGCCGTCCCATCCTCCTTGACTTGATAAATGTAAATACATTTGACGAAGAGTACAAGTCTCTTTGTAATGTAAAATTGTATTTAAAAGTTTTCAGCATAAACCGCCAGATGATATGAATTTGAGCGTGTAAATTTCCGAACATGGTTGCATATCAGATTTGTTTCATAACTAGTGTTACGAAAGTCGAGAAGGGTCGAAAATGTTGCGTTTGAACTGAAACTGAAAACATTAGTTTAAAGGTACATTGCTGTGTGTATATTTTCGTTACATGTTTCTTTCTATAACGGATTTTGTTCTTGTATTGTTACAGTTCAAGCGGATGCTGAACAAAGAACTGAGCCATTTCTCTGAGTCCAGCAAATCCGGGAACCAAATCTCCGAGTACATCTGCTCAACCTTTCTCGGTAAGTGCTGCACCCACTCGATGTCACGTGTGCATGAATGTGGCCTTCATTAAGGACCCTTCTTGACATAAAACAATTTACGGGTAGCGTAGTTGGTTGAGGCACTATGCTACAAGCCGGAAGGTCGCGGATTCGAGTCTCGATGAGGTGGACTTTTTTTTTCAATTAACCTAATTCTTTCAGTCGCACGATGGCCTTGGGGTTGACTCAGCCTGTAACAGAAATGAGTACCAGAAATCTTCCTGGAGGTAAAAGGGGACCGGCGCGTAAGGCTGACAACTTTACCATCATCTGTGAGCCGATTTTCTAGAGAAAATGTGGGAGCCTCGACGGCCTGTTACATTTGTATCTTTACCTTTTACCTTTATAAATATAAGAATTTACCGTACTCTGTTGGGCAGACCCCGGAGTTACGTCACGTTACGTTTCAGATTGATGCCCGAACTCAATTCCGCACGTCGAAGCACAGCGTTACTTAATGTTCCAATGTCATGTAATAGCCTTACGGCGTTTTTTTCTCTTTTATCTGCCATTATATTAAGTTATTTTATATTTCAATCATAAACAAAAACAGCAACTTAAAATTCATGAACAGTTTATTATTCACGTAATCGCAGAGTGTAACACAAAAAAAAATCCGTGGTTTTAGTCCGCAAACGAACTATACCAAAGAGATGTTAATTTACATAACAGCCTTACGACTTGTATTTTCAATTTATCCGTTATTATTAAGTTATGTTATAATTTAATCGCACCAAAACAGTAAAATTAAAGTTATAAACAATTTAGTGCACGCGGTAGCGTAGTTGGTTGATGCACTATGCTACAAACCGGAAGGTCGTGGGATCTAATACCTATGAGGTCACTGATTTTTTTTTCAATTTACCTAATCTTTTCAGTCGCACTATGGTCCTGGGGTCGACTCAGCCTCTTAACAGAAATGAGTACCAGGAATATTCTTTGGGGGGGGGGTAAAGGGCGGCCCACGCGTAAGGCTGACAACCTTTCCGCCACCTGTGAGCCGATTCTCTAGAAAATGTGGAAACCTCAACATCTCACACCCCTATGGGCCTCCACAACCTGTTACATGGATAGCTTTACTTTTACTTACTTAGTATTCACTTAATCACGCAGTGTAATACAATAATACAAAGAGATGCGAAGCCAACCGTGTTTGTAAACAAATTGATGACAGTGACACCTGTAATTGGAGGCCGATCGGGCAGTAGCAACAAGCCACTAAAGTGCCACAGCTCGGGGTATGACTGTATTTGATTTATCCGCTAGTGGGGTCAATATTTTTAGCCTCCTTTCCTTATTCTCAAAAAAAATAAGAAAAAGCTTATAAGATTACCCTACTGTCTGTATAACCCCCCCCCCGGCCCCTCTATCAACTTTTGAATGGCTGAACCAATTTTTACGAAACTTGTTTTATTATAACTTTGTGTAGCGACGAAATAACTAGAAATTGATGCATTTAAAATTATCAAAATATCGTCTTGCAATTTATCACAGTCCATAATTTGAAGTAGATTCACTGGATAAATGTTGTTGTTATTACTTTTATCTCTACCGTTATTATAGTGATCGTCATCAAATTTACGTTGATGCACATACTTTGTGCCAGCTGTGGTGTGAACTAACCAGGCATCGTAGTTTCCGTGGTTGAAATACTGAAATTGGATTGGTTCCACGTAGGGAAGAAACGCTAATTAATTAATTGCCTTCCCACCTGAACTTTATGCGAGACAAGGTAATAACGCCAGTGGTGTAGTAGGCAGCGCCATTTTGATGTGGTTAGCTCTTCAAAATGCTCGCATGTGATGATAATGAAAAATAATTTCCAACTTGACGAAAGGAATGTAAACCATTCATTTGTGAAGAGTTTCATATTGAATTCTATTTGTACTTACATCCCTGACCTTTTGGAAGCATGAGTTGTTTGTAACCATTTGATATTTCCCATAAGACCACATACATGTTTATGGGCCTGTACAGTCAAACAGGTAACAAGAACCAACATCAATTGTCTCAACACACAATCCCTCTGGCAGGAGGAAAAGCATTTCTCATAAGCTGACGAGTTTCATGTAATTACAGCTCATGTTTGAAAACCTTTATAAATGTTTGTTACTTAAAAACGGTCTCTCGTGTTGGATAGATTTATTGCAGATTATTTAAAGACACAGTATCAAGTGTAGATGTTATTTAGTTTGGAATGGTATGAGGCGGCGCAGTGTGCAGTGAACTTGCTGGTTTTGAGGAGAGAGTGGGTGTGGCCTATTTCAAGATACTATTTAAATAATCATCTGGAGAGACTATGAACTAAGATGGTTGAGATTCTGTCGAGACGCATACCGGTTATCTTCTGAACATGTCCGAAAACAAATTTCTCAGATCATTAACATAAATTGACTGCATCAATAGGCGCTATTAGAAGAGATATTCGGGGTCCTGACCCCAGGTTGTCCCAGGAGGAAAGGTCAGTATTCTAGGAGGTCATAGTATCGGTCATTCTGAGCAAAAGAGTGTATATGTACATGTGTCGTATTCCTAACGATTTCCGATATAGAGACATTTCACTATGTACATGTGTCGTATTCCTAACGATTTCCGATATAGAGACATTTCACTGTAAAAGGTAAGGCTAAGTTGTCCCTGGCCGGTCACGGTAGCCGAGCGGTCTAAGGCGTGCACTGTCTTCGCTCGCTCTGAAGCCGGGATCGTGGGTTCGAATCCCACTCAGGGCATGGATGTGTGTGTGCGTTTTTCTGTGTTTGTGTACAGGTAGAGGCTTTGCGACGAGCTGATCACCCGCCCAAGGAGTCCTACCGTATGTGTAAGATCTAGAAAAACCGAAGTGAACGGAAGTTCATGGAGGTAGGCCTAGGCCCACTGGGGCTTTAGTGCCAAGGGGGGGGGGAAGTTGTCCCTGTGCTTCACTAATTAAGCACTACGCCATGAAGGCGTATTGGGGAGTGGATGTACAGTTCCAAAATTGTTGATTAGAAAGAGATATTACGTCCTGTTTCTAATACCGGTATTTGTTATTCAAGTGACAATTTTGGTACAGTTTAACTAATATAATAAATTTTCGAAAGCTCCACCGTCAACATCAATGCACATTGTAGCTTGTGTGCGGACATGGCGTGTTGCTCGTCTGTACAGTGAAATAGCTCTATCTCGGTGCAACTCGTGTGAGGACATGGCGTGTTGCTCGTCTGTGCAGTGTACAGTGTACAGTGTGCTGTGCAGTGAAATAGCTCTATCTCGGTGCAACTCGTGTGAGGACATGGCGTGTTGCTCGTCTGTACAGTGTACTGCACAGTGAAGTAGCTCTATCTCGGAAACCCCTCGGAATAGGACACGTACATACACACTTTTTTTTTTACTTAGAATGACCGATACTATGACCTCCCAGAATATTGACGTTTCTTCCTGCGACACTCTGTATTTATGTCACACTTTGATGATATATGGATCGGAAGAGTTGCAGAGAAGTAGACACTTGGAAGACAGACGTCACGTGTCAGTGACTAGACACGGGGTTTGGACCGATAATTGGATTTATTGAGCGCTTATAAGTCATAACTAAAAATAATTATTATAACATTTTCGCTGATTCACACATTCTACAAATGACAACTGCAAACACTAAGTCTTCTGTGCCTTCGCTACTCTGCTTGTTAATGACATTAACAACGCAACGCATGACTGATGCGGAAGTATATTTTGGTTTCCGTGGAAACTTATTTACTAGACGTTGCATAGCAGTGGACGACTTTTCTGGGCCCGCTGTCCCGGCTAAATTCATCAGGATTTGGACAGGGACGGCTGCACACTTCCGGTTCTACAAAAGGCAGGAAATTTCTGCACCAGATGGAGACTGTTCGCTTTTAAACGAGAAATCGATTCCATGAAGCGAGTTAAATCGAAAGAGTTTAGTCAAATATGACTCCTGGCTTTAACCGAGACACTCAGAGACGTTTTAGCAAGTGAACTGGAAGACAGGAATACTAGAGGAGATCGTTGTGATGTCACGACTTGTTGTACAGTTGTTACTTAATAGTGAACAGTCATGGTTAAGTCATATTGTACATTCTGAATTGTTCTGACGATGGTGCATAATTCTGAGTGTTAAATCACCCTGCCTAGCTCCTGGCGTTCGGTAACATTATGACCCAACACTTGTTCATGTTAATGTCATCGTGTCTGTTGAGTCATGTTTTACAATTTGTTCTTTTTTTATATAAAACTTGTTTTCTTTTTCTTTTGATGTTAATTTATTATATGACCTTTATGGTATGCATCCTGTTGTGTGTTATTTACGAAAAGATATAATTTGGGACAGTCGGACAACAAATAATAGAAAAGAAACGAAATACACACTACTGTGTCAACTTTTGTTCTTATTCGTTTTTGGTGGTATCGCTGTATGTTTCGACCCTTTTTTCCTGGGTCATCCTCAGGCTTACATGAATACTATTTAGCTTCTTAATTGTGTGTACGTATAAACAACCCAGAGTGGGATACCCCGAACGTGTTCAGCCTTCACACGTTTAATAGGAAGATCAAAAACCAGTACGACCTATATTCTGAAGAAGGATCCCAGCAAGCAGATACACCACAGCACAATATCACTACCGCAGTGGAACAACAAACACACATACGATATGTAGCAGGCACAAGGCTTCAATGTAATTTGTAATATTGGCTACAAATACCTTAATATCCAGTTTAATTACAATTTTAATTGTAATTGTAATTTAAATTTTTTATCAAGTTTAATGTCAAGTGTAACCATATTTGAATCACATTTTAAAATTAAGATGCAATTGTCATTATAGAATAATCATATAGACACAGCATGGATTCATACTGATTAATGACGCAATTCAGAAGCTAAATAATATTCATGTACGCCTGAGGATGACCCAGGAAAAGAGTCGAAACATGTAGCGATACCACCAAAAACGAATAAGAACAAAAGTTGACACAGTAGTGTCTATTTTGTTTCCTTCTGATTATTTATTATACGACTGTCCCAAATTATATCTTTTCGTTCTTATGGAGCCGGCTTGAAATACGAAAATTTTGTTACAGGTTTTAATTATTTTAAAAATATGTTACGAGATACTGTACGTAAACGCCGAAGACTTCTCGTAAGTAGTTTTATCCCCCAAATTACGTTACTGCTCTTATCCTTCCGTAAGCACATCTTTTGTAATGCATGGAATCGATCTGTCGATTGAGGAAAGTAATTTTTAAACCGCGATACTGTGTCGTCCATTACACATATTTAGGTTGAAGAAGAATAGCAGGTTGCACACTTGGATTTGTTTTAAGAGTGGTATCTTCTGGAATATAATGCTGTGTTGTCCGTTGAAAGTCAACGGTCGTTGAAGACTGTACCAAGCAAGAAACCAACAAAAACTGAACTTGCTGCCTTCCTTTTGCTTGGCATACTCTTCAGCCTTGAAGATGAAGGCAATGTTCTTCCGAAACGTCTGGCTGTCTCCGAAGTACACGCCGTTTACAACCTACAGTACTATACTATTCAAAGTTGAAGTATTGAGAATATATTACCAGAAGCACTAATTGCTTCAAGTGTCCTGAAATCTGATAAGCTAATTTGTCAGACGTCATAAAAGTTATTCATTACGTCACGTTAATCAACGAACAGTTGTTCACTGTTCCCTCTTAACTAATCAGGCATACTTGTCATTGTACTTGACTGACGTCACAGGTGTTACGTGATTTTTGTTTGCTGTTTCTTATGGCAGTGAATTACTCTGAGTTATTCATAATGGGGTCTCGTTCCTCTCTGAGAACCAATAGACTCATTGCAGCAAATTGCGCTCCCTGCTTGAAAGACAGCTGCGGTAATTGCATGTTTTTCCTTAGGACAGGTAACCCCCTCTAAGTCCAAAATATATCTTAACTAGTGTTCACAGATTCTGCCTCATAGGAAACACTGCCTCTCAGTTCCAAAGATCAACCTGTTAATGTGCGAATTACTCTCTGTTCTGATAATTTTACGAAACATACAAATTTGCTCCTTATGCAGAGTGTATGGTGTTTTATGGCTAAAAGCTTAATCAGGATCCCATAACAGATTTAGTTTTCTTGTCTCTGAACTTATATGCTTATTCGGACCGTAATCTTTTCTGTTATTTAAAATATGTTTATTTGAATATACTGGAAAAGGAACCTCATATTTGTAAACTTTTCATATCCGGAATTGATTCCCTACCAGAATTACCTACGACCATAAGAGACTGTTAGAATAATGCTATGTCATTAATAGCAAGAGCCGGTCACCGCGGCCACGCGGTCTAAGGCATGACATTTCTTCGCCTGCTCGGACACTGGGATCGTGGGTTCGAATCTCACTCAAGGCATGGATGTCTGTGTGCGTTTATTCTGTGTTTATGTTAAGTAACGGCCTTGCGACGGGCTGATCCCCCGTCCAAGGAGTCCTACCGACTCTCTAAGATTATGAAACTGAAGTGAAACGAAGAGTTTAACAGATGCCTTATGCTCCAACAGGAATAGAATAATAATAATAATAATAATAATAATAATAAGAAGAAGAAGAAGAAGAAGAAGAAGAAGAAGATTAATAACGAGAGGCACGTACTGAAGTACCTTAAGGGCATGCGGCCGTTAAGAACAGTTAAGAAAATTCAGTTTTGCACATTCGAAATATCCTAATGTCCTCTGAATATAAAAACAAACACAACGGCATTGCGCATCATCACCAGACACGGATAACAGTCGCGAATCTGCCGAATAATCACAGATGACAGATGGTGGGTAGTCCTCCAGCCTGGAGGTTGGGCGGAGGGTTAGAATATTGTTAAATGTTGTGCAGGCCCTTGGATCTGAAAGGAAATTTTAACTTGTTTATGAACTTTCAATACAAGACGGGGAACTTCTTGGCAAGCTGGTCGACTGTTGGTTTCTCAAGAAGGACTCTGCCCCATGGATTTGCCAGGAAATGATCAGCACTTCGAAATAGTGGCTTTTCTTCATGTAAATATTATGTTGGACAGTGTACGCCATTATCAGGTGTCAGTGGAAGAGCACGTCCTACGCAGTTGAGCGCTGTGATGTGGGCCAACTTCTAATGGTCCCATCTGAGTAGGACTCTTTCCCCCCAGCCACCGAAGCATCATAAATATAGCTAGGACTATGGACACTGTCCAATATAGTAATTACATAATGAATAGAACATTGTTATGGACAGGATCGGTGACTTTGCTGCTATTAAAAGTTCATACGCAAAAATAAAGATGTCAAAAATTAATTTACATGTTGACTATGAGAAGAATTGCATTCCTTTGTGCTGATCTTGCATTTACTATGTAAACTGTTTTTGTACAGGGCAATCTCATGGCTGTCAGAAATAGCTTACCTCACAGAGGAACGAATACCAGATTTCGTTCATAGAAGTTTATTTATAGACACCGTATTGCCGAAGTCACTTGTATATCACACAGGTACGCACTGCGCATTTCATGTCTGGGTAGATGTAACCCGTTGCTAGAGACATTTACGTCAAGAAGACTGACAGTTATAATTCAAATTTATGATTACCAAGCAGAATAATGTAGCGGTAACGCTTGCGGCTTATATTCGGGGATTTCTCGCCACTAATACTGACTGAGACACCAGATACGCTGACTTAGGTTTTCACAGGTTTTCTTCAGTCTCACCAGACAAGTTCTCGTATAGTAGTTAGAGTAGGTCATGACCGATTCCTTACACTTTTTTAAATTAATATTTCGACAATAATCCTAGCCTTCTGTGATGCTGGCAATATCGTAAAATATCATAAAAATATATTGTAAATAAGTGGAATTTATGTTTCATTCATCTACGGCTCTACAGCCGTTTGTTGGGCCCTGACCTCTTCTTCAGTACCGTAATCTTTTTTACACAGGCGGTAGGACTCATTGGACGAGTGATCAGCCCGTCTCAAGGCCGCTACCTACACACAGGACAAGATAAACACAGAATAAATGCACACACAGACATACACGCCTCGAGTGGGATTCGAACCCACAATCTAGTGTTCGAGTGAACGAAGACAGTTCATGCCTTAGACCGCGCGGCCGCTGTGATCAGCGGAATTTACGTTTAACTGATGATTTTTAAAGACAGAATCACATGTCTCTTCCAGAAATAGGGAAGGGTGGTAAGGAGTGGATTTATGTGGCTTGGAATTGGGACCAGACTTCTGTGAAAATGGTAACGGACCTTTAAGTTCAATAAGCATCGAATTTCTTGAGCAGCTGAAGAAATGTTAACTCCTCAAAAAGAACTCTTGTCCACAGAGGCATTTACTGAGTTCCCTCCTTCCTGTGAAATTATTATTATTTAAACTGCAAATGGGTTTTTGCCCGGTGGTAGTGGTACTACAATAAGACACAACACACAAATAACACACATCGCTCAAAATAACACGCCACACCCAAAACACAGCACACAAAACTACACAAACAACAAAGGACACACTAGCACACAGTAAATACAATGAAAATAATTTACAACTACATACAACAAATACAGTTAACTTAATATTGGTGCGTGCTATGTATTCCCGCATAACGTACCTGTCTGAGATGGCCGATTAGCATGGCATTCAGATGAGTTCAGACTTCCTTTATATTTGTTCTTAGCCGTCTGTGTATCACAGTCTGTCTATAATGCAAGAATTATTAAAATATTCACCATTTAACACTTAACACAACATGTTTCGGCCATAGATGGCACTAGCGAAGACAACAGTACACGCTGCTAGAGGGAACAACACACAAGCAAGGGGTATATTGCAGATTGCATACACAGCAAAACAACGGGCTAATGATACAGAAGAACAAGCTGCAGAAACGAACCTTCTGGAATAATCACACAGCTCCAAACAAGTGGATGGTGCCCCTTATGAAGTGGAATAGGATTTTACGAAAGATCTTGATAGAAAAAAAATAATGAATTTTAAGTAATTATTTATGTTATTTTAAATGGACTGCAACCCGCGATTTTAGCATGCATCGAAGCAGTGTAGCAGTTTGGACGCATTGGAACACCTGAAGATGGCCATCTATGGCCGAAACATGTTGTGTTAAGTGTTAAACGGTGAATATTTTAATAATTGTTGCATTATTGACAGACTGTGATACATAGACGTTTAATTAAAGATGTGCAACAGGATGCTGAAATACAGAATTGTTCTTAACCTGCTGAATAGCTGGGTCAGTCAGTGGTGTGTTTCAAGATAATGAGAATTTGCCTAGTAGATTAAGATGATAAAAATTTTTAGCATAAATCTCATTAGTGTATCATTCAGGTATGCCACATTTGTTCTGAATGTGAAACTGTTTTCCAGTAATAAATTTTAAAATTATAAGAAGGTGCCTTGCAATTGTTATCCACTGGGTTTTTGTTTAACAGTCCCTTTGACCGCACTCTTTAGTAGTACTCACAGAAGTTATTTTGGGAACGCACTCTTTGGACATAGACAGATGTTTGATTACAGTTTGTTGTCATATTTTGTATTTGCCTTATCTTAGACATGTTGTAATTTGTTTCCAGTATGTGCTTAAGGTAAGGATTTGTGTTGTGAATGCAGTCGTTTTACTCATCTCTGAAGTTTTGGGTCAGAATAATACATGTACATCTTATACCTAATTTGTGAAAATTTGGGTAGTAATGGATTATGTTTAGCTGAGCTTGCAATCAGGTTTACATGTTTGAGTCTTGGTTTGTCACAGTGGAAAATATCTCATAAGGTTCACCTGTATGAGTTGAACTGAAGTGAAATGAAACCAAATTTATTAGATGCTTGCTTAAAGTCTTGAAGTCAAAGAAACCTCTTCATAAGTTATGATACATTTAGAAGTGAATTTAAGAAGGCATACTTTTTGTGTGAACTAGATAAGCAACAAGAGTTGGACCTTCCTTCGCTGCGGATAGAGGATACAGAACCTCGTACCAACAAGAAGAAAGAACGCCCTCGCCATGGATCCACTACAATGTCCCAGATATCAGGGGTCAAAAAGCCCCTGTGTCACACAAACAGCTTCACTGGTGAAAAGGTTCCAAAATATGGTGTCGAAACTCCATATGAGGAAGACCTTGGCAAGGTAAGTTTCACTTGCATCATCATCAGCAGCAACAGCGTATATCAGGAGGAATTTTAATATAAATATAATACATCGTGTTTTAAGACCACCATTAAGCAGAATGTATTTTCCTTTAAACTTTGCCTGGCACAGGAATGATGGGACCATTGGCATTTATTGAAATGTTGGCTGGCACCAGTGATACAGGTTTGGTCTCCGTTAACATCTGAGGCTACATGATAATTCAGCAGCACACCAAAATGTAAATCTTATTTGTAAGATGCATATTTTCTGTAACTTTATGTATGTAGCCCAAGTATCAGGAAGTGTGATTACCAGAGAAAGTTAATTATAAGAAAATGCAGTGTCATGTTGCCCTGTTAATTATTTGGAACCATTACCTACTTATGTAAGATTTGAGGCTTTCACGGCGGTGACTATGAAGAAAGCAGTCTTCTGGGATTTGGCACCGTGTATATGTGGTGTTAACCGACGTTTCGGAGGAACGTATCGCCCCCATCTTCAGGGTNATCCCAGAAGACTGCTTTCTTCATTACCTACTTAGTCCGATTTAAGAAGCCTTCTTACAAATGAAATCAGTACCATTTCTATTGCTCTCAGAACAATTGAAGAATTATCTGAAAAATGTGCAGCAGTGTTGGTATCTCATAAGCTCACCAGGAGGCACTGGAGTGACAAAGACAAAGGCACCATATCTTTTGATAAGAAACTTTGACACCCAGTAGTAGTAAAATGGTGTGCCATCCTTATCTGAGATAATGACAAAGAATGTGAGGTTTTTTTTACTGTTTCTGCACTCAGTTCCCCTACACTGCTTTATCAGTTCGCCCTCCTTGTATCTGCATAATTGGTATCTACTGTTTGCTGGGGAAATGTGGGAAGGACGTACATCTGGCCGAATTCTCTGAATTTCAATCACAATGCCCAAATGTCTTAGTAACTGACAAGGGAACCGTCTGCGCCGACATTTTGAAACCTGCCCTGATTTTTTTTCTTTCACTGCAAGAGTACACACAACAAAATCCACTGTCAAAATTTTAGCTGCTAATACGCACTGCAAGTATTTTTTAAAAATTGCTGAATATGGTCAATATTGTAGCCTGCCAGACCCTTGGAGAAATGTTCACCCCTAGCACACCAGTATGCAACACGCAACATGGCTGACTCAGCCTAGGCTGGGGTTCTACAAACCTCTGGTACAAGCGGTTACACATAGAGAAAAAATGAGTAACTTCGACAATTTTTAAAAAATACTTTGAGTGCATATTTGCAGCTAAAATTTTGACAGTGTATTTTGTTGTGTGTACTCTTGCAGTGGGGGGGGGAAAAAAATCAGGGCAGGTTTCAACATGTCGGATCAGACATGAATGAAAAGCAAATATGAAATCTGTATTTTACATTCATATTCAGCTATATTTATTTCAGTCTGAATGTTAGTGTGTTAAATATCTTAAAATTATTTTCAGATGCTGGGAGAAATAGACAGATGGGGAATTGACATCTTCAGAATAGGAGATCTGTCAAATAACCGCCCTCTGACAGCAGTTGCGTATGCTGCCTTCCAGGTAAAGGAACAGTTTAAGTATCAGAATGATCTGCAAAATGAAATAAATCAGATATGGCTGTAATGTTGTGAATAACATTTGTCTCAGTTGTAAAATGTATGTAAATCTCTTTTTTAGAGTCGTGATCTATTGAAAACCTTCTTAATCCCACCAAAGACTTTCATCACGTTTATGATGACTCTAGAGGATCATTATGTCAAAGACAACCCGTTCCACAACAGTATGCATGCTGCTGATGTCACTCAGTCTACCCATGTCCTCCTCAATACACCAGCTCTCGAAAGCGTCTTCACACCGTTGGAGATCACAGCAGCCCTCTTTGCAGCCACAATCCATGATGTAGATCACCCAGGTCTCACAAATCAGTTCCTTATTAACTCCAGTAAGTATAGATGTGTAGAATAAATATTGACATGTTTATGGACATTAATAATAATGGATGATTGTGTATATTAATGTCTTCTTTTACAGTTACTCTTAATCACAATAAATTTACAATCTCTCAGAATACGTCTTCACCTCAATTCTGATCCAATCTATTCTGGTCTGACTGTGACTGACTTGAACAACGACTGTCTTCTCTTCTAGTCTGTCTTCTGCTGTTGTCTCTTGGCTCATGTCTTCTACTGTGACTGACTTGGTTCAGAGTTACTTTACAAACGACTTCTGATTTCTGACTGACTTGCTTCTGATTTACAAATGAATCCATTCTTATCTGCACCGGCACCTACATAGTATAGCAGTATCCTAGGAAGTGTCTGTTATTTGTTTGTATGCATGAACACACTTTTTGATCCTTCAGCAACGATCTGGTTTCCACAATTATACATCTTTCATTTTCATATTCATGGATGCATTTAACACCCACTGGTGGTTTATGTCCAAGAATTGTATCTTGTAGAAAAGTGTCTGCCAGTTCATCTCCTAGAAACAGCCTACATGTCATATTATATTATGTCTGAAATCTAGATTGGGGTCCTTTGGGTCATGATACTCTGTAGTCTGGAAGGTGGTTAGCAATGTTTGAGATGAACCTATTGCCACCATCTTGTGCCCTGAAGATGAAGGTAGCAGATTCCTTCAAAACAATGCTGCCAACCAACTGGACTTCAAAATGCTGTAACCAGAAGACCACAATTCAGATTCTTAACTGCCATGAACATAAGTTGTATGCCTTAAATTGATTCATTCTGTTGTTTAACATTTTTATAATTAATAAATATTCTTCAGATGGTGGAGTCATTATGAATATTAATAAGGTGCTCTGTGACTTCTGTTGTTGGAGATAAACATCAAATAAAAATTGTTTAATAGTGTAAATTGGGCCATCAGTACAACGTAAAAGTATCTTCAAGATGAAGAGAAAATAGATTCTGCTATATCACATGTATTTTTTATTGAATTCACTTGTAGTCAGCAACAGCACATAACTAGGATTTTGTGTATAGTATTAGTTTACATTCTCCAAAGTGTATTCGCTGTAATAATAATAGCAACAGACTGTAAAATATGGATCCATATTAAAACAGTTCAAGAACTTAATTTGTTTCTGTCATAACTCGACTGATGATGACCTAGAAAAGGTTAAAACATGCAGCGTACATCTTCACATAATAAGTAAATAATAGTGCTACAATAGTATCTATTTGGTCTTCATCTTGAAAATACTTTTATGTTGTGCTGATGGCCCAGTTGACATGATTGTTGAATACACAACAGGATGCAAACAATAAACATTAAAAATTGTTTTCATTGTAACACTTATCATGTTATAAATGAGATATATTGATTCAAGACTGACCCTTCTGTATTGCATAACTTGAACATGGTAACAAACAGCGTTTGTGTGAACATTTTAGGTTCAGAACTGGCGCTTATGTACAATGACGAGTCTGTGCTGGAGAACCATCACCTGGCCGTAGCATTCAAGTTGCTGCAGAATGAAGGATGTGATATATTTGTGAACTTGGGCAAGAAACAGCGGCAGACACTAAGGAAAATGGTGATTGACATGGTCCTATCGACTGACATGTCTAAACACATGAGCCTTCTTGCTGATCTCAAGACTATGGTAGAGACAAAGAAAGTCGCTGGCTCTGGCGTTCTTCTTCTTGATAACTACACTGACAGAATACAGGTATTGTAAGAGAATCCATTGCCTCCATGGCTAGCCTTGGAACATTTAGCGTAATGCTCGAGTGACATCTTGAGTTTATATTATGTGCTTTGTTCACAGGTACTAGAGAATCTGGTTCACTGTGCAGACTTAAGCAATCCTACAAAACCTCTGCCGCTGTATCGTCGGTGGGTGGATCTTCTGATGGAGGAATTCTTCCAACAGGGTGATCGTGAGAGAGAACAGAACCTTGACATAAGTCCCATGTGTGACAGGCACAGTGCGACCATTGAGAAGTCTCAGGTAATCCCCTTAAAGACCAGAATAAGGGAAAATGTCTCAGAATTAGACACACATCTATTAATTAATGTTATTACATATCAATAAATTAATATTCCAGTGGCGTTACAGAAAAGAGGTCAAAATTAATAAGTGCATCACAGAATTCTTGTTAGGATCAAGTCAAGACCAGATTATTACACTAAAGCATGATACTTTACATTCAGTGACACAATGAAATACTGAGTTATATTACTACATACCGTATTTACGCATGTATAGGCCGCAGCACAATTTTCAGACAGAAATTCTAGAAAAAATAATTTTCTTGGAATATTATTTCAGGAGTAGAACACCCTGTATTACTAATTATGAATATAATTTTTTTAAAATGAAGTGTGATTTCGAATATTTCGAATATAAGCCGCACCCCAGTTTTCCTCTTGAATTTTTGGCAAGAAATGTGCGGCCTATACATGCGTAAATACGGTAAATGTTTAAAGTTGTTTCTTTCCCCCCTGAAGAGCACTCTTTAATGATATAATCCTCTCTGCTGGCAAGACCATGGATTTGTTTTTGTAGAAACAAGCTTCTTATCCATTGTAACATTCAAGTAAGCCTGAATGAAATGAAGGTCAGTCATAATTTATAACTTTTACCATTAATGATTTCTGCAACTTGAGACTTAAAGTTCTAACAGTGGTGAGTATTATAATTATTATCTTCTGGGATATGATTCCATGTAGTTTAGTAGACAGGTGCTGCTGCCATCTTCAGATTGAAGCATCACATTGCTGAAACATTTGTATCTCAATTGCCAAGCTATATGGTGTCACATCCCAGAAAACTAATCATAATACTTCTGCATTGGTTCACTTCTTATCTTTCCAGTTGTTCCTTCAGAATCTGTTATAATGGTCAGTTTTTAATATCCTTTGTATGTTCAACTATGTCCATAGCATGTTTCAGGATTGAAATTTTCACCATCATCAGGTGGATCCATGTCCTAAACAAATGACATGTTCCGAATTACTGGGTTTTTGGACTTTTTCTGTTGTCCGGTATTCTACATAGAAACTAGATATATTTCGATCCAGTTTCTGAAACACTGTTTTTTCCAATTTCTGGAATACCGGACGATGGGGAAAAATCCAAAAACTCAGTAATTCTGAGCTTTATGCACCATCATTAGAACCCTTTATAATATACCAAATTGCATATTGTCATAAATAGATATTTTCTTATAATGCTGTTCACAACAACATACAAATTCTAATCTTATGTTGAAATGTTAAAAATAGATTTAATACTATCTGCTTATGATTCTGCTACTGGATATGTTTATATTATCACTCAGGATTCTTAAAACTCCTCTTCACTCTCAAGTTACAGTTTTTCTGTGTGAATACTTGTATCTAATGTGATGTGACAATATATCACTGTCTGATTTACTATGAAAAGACGTAAGAACTTAAAGTACATAATATAAAGCCAAAAAGAAGTACACAGCCATAGAAATCTTGCAGCGATTGCAGATAATCTACTAAAAGTAAAAAATTAAGAAAACTATGAACTTGTCAAATAGGCCATTGAAAGTGATTTTTGTATATCACACAAAATGCTGACACCTTTCAAATATTTAATGAAAATACATTTGCTTTTCTGTAATCACAACATGATTAGTGTGTTTGGAAGTGTGAACAACTATCCGTGGCTTCCTTCTGTCTCCACAGCCACTGCATTATGAGCAGGTTCTCTGATTAGGACACATTTACCATGGTCTGGTCCCGGAGTCAAGGGACTGTGTCATCCATTCAAACCATAGAAAAGACTAGTGACTGTGCCATATTGGAGCATATACCAAATTCATCTTGAAAATATCTAAGATATTGTGACATGACACCTGAAAGCCAAAATAGCAGAGCCACAGTAGATGTTCACTGCTAGGCAATGACTCAGTAAATAGGTTCCCACTGAAATAAACACACGTACAATAATATAAGAACTACAATTTCTGTGCAATGGCGAGGGAAAAAACACCTCTCTAACAACAGAGAAATTGTTATGAAACGGTGTTTTCTGTTGGTGCCGCCCCAAGGCTATGTAACGAGAAGAACTGTGGGAGTCCCTTGAGTCAGTAGTCGGAAGATGGTTGAGAAGAGACGGCAATGAGTTAGTTGGCAGTTGCAGCAGAGAACTTGACTGAGAATTCTGGAGTTGGCCGTTGGCAGATGATGGGGGAATCAAAAGAGTTTGGTGGAGATGAAAGTCTGGCTGTGAAGAGAATACTTTGTGTGTGCTATAGTTCTGCAGTATTTGGAGTGTTTAATTCAGTGAGACTGTTACAGTTCTTTTTTTTTTAAATTTATTATCAGGAAATGACTAGTGGAGGGCATAACAGACTAAGGACACTACTAGTATATATATATAAAGTGTGTAGATCGGTGATAGTGCTGTAATTACTTGTAGTTCCAAGTGCTGTCTATAAGTGGTCAATAAATCAAATTCATCCAATCCATACCCCATCTGATAGCCACACACCCCTACATGTGACAGTATATTTTCTGAGGGGTGCTTCCAGATTTTTCAGTACACCCTGTCAGTTGTATATACATCTACATTTCCAAGTACCTGTACTCTTAAACTATTTTGCAGAAATATTTTTATGTTTCTTTGTGCTTGTAGGTTGGATTCATTGACTACATTGTGCATCCCTTGTGGGAAACTTGGGCAGATTTGGTACATCCAGATGCTCAAGATATCCTGGACACATTGGAAGAGAACAGAGATTGGTACCAGAGCATGATACCTCCGAGTCCGCCACCAGCAGAACTGAGAGAGCAGACAGAAACAGAAGAAGATATCGGAGATGACACAACAGATGAGAGTGGAAGTGAAAGGGGGAGATCTGGGGGTGGTGGTGGTGGAGGAGGGGGAGGAGGTAAACTTTATGTTGTACTGTAAAGTAGAGAAATTGCAATATAATACTCTGCACTTTTCTTAAATTGAGTTAATTTTGGGCCTCTTTGACATAAATTGGTATTGAACTGTGGCTACTGTAATCATCAGTTTGGTGAAAACCAGTTTTAAATTAAACAGATCTAAATTATTAAACATACTCAGGTTTTATATGTAATTTTATCGATATAATTTATAAGTATGAGCAACAGGGATTTGATTAACATAGAGAATGGGTCGCGCCATAGCTCAAGCAGTTAGTCGCTGGCTTCCCATCGCGGCAGCCCGGATTCGATCCCTGGTCTGGTCAAGTGGGATTTGTTGTGGACAAAGTGGCGCTGGGGCAGATTTTCTCCAAGTACTTCGGCTTCCGCTGCCAATCTTTATTCCACCAAATGCTCGACAATCACCCTCAACATGCTTTATTATATTTGTATGGTGGATATAGGATTATGCTACTACAAAAATGGATGCTTGTTTCATAATATGAACAAAGCTACTGCTGCAGATATGCAGAAATTATTTAAATTCATACACAGCAAAGAGTCATAAAGTTCTCTAGCATAAGCAGATTACAGGAGAAAACTTCAGTATATTTTGTATTTTCTTTTTCTACTATAAATGCCTCTGATGATGGCTCCGTGGTGAGCCGAAACATGTAAGGCAGGTGCTGACGAGGTGGAAAACTTAAAAAAGTGTCACATTTGACGGAAGGAACTTGATTGTTGATTGTTATTTTGTGTTGTTTCAGTTCCTCTTGGAATCGCTGTTCACTATGAGGTAGTTTATAGTTTCAACTTGGAAATTTTACTTTTGTTGTTCAGGACAAGATCGAATTCGGTTCCAAGTGACACTGGAAGAGGGCGAAGGTGAGGGTGAAGAAGGAGAAGAAGCAGGTGGCACAAGTTCAGCAGCGGGAATGTGACGGAGGTTCCTGGGACTATGTAGGAAACTGCACGAGAAGGTGCAACAATGGTGGAGAATTCGCCAGTGAGAGAAGCTGCAACTGCAGGAAAAAGGATTGTCTACACCAGGAGTGTATTGATGAGTACTGGGGTCATCACCTGAGATGTCACTGGATTGGAGAGTAAATGGAGAGTGAAACCTCTTCGAGATTTCTCTGTGTGTTATAGCATCATACCTCAAGTTGGAAGAAGAATTAAGATAGAAATATATCTGAATTAAGGTATAAATTATTGGAAGAATTTCCCATATGTATAAGGGCAAGCATGATAGTGAGGAATGGTGTTTAACCAGTCTGGGCCATGAAAAAAGGAAGAAAAAGTTGCATAATGTTTCATGCTTTCTTCATAACATAACATCAGTTTTATTATTGGAGAAAAATGGGTACTGGAAACGGTGATACAAGAGGAAACTTTGTTGCTGAGGGGTAAACACACTAAGAAATGTTGATAGAATTAGTTTTCCAAACTTTCCTGAGCATAGGGTACTGTTTACCTAATGGAATATGAGCTCTATAATGTACTGAGAAGGAAATTAATTATTTATTTGAATATGTTACATAATGACAATATTATTTTTATGATATTAAACGCAGGTGTTTCTGAAGTGAATTTTGGCATGTTGAATGTGTACCCAAAGCACAACAGAAAATTGAGCTTTCAATTTTATTTTAGATTTATTGGTACTGTACTAAGAAAGAAATGTTACTTTTATGTAAATATTACTTGTATATTATTTCAAATTAAGAAAAATTGCTACACTGCTACGTGCCCCATAAGACTGAACCCAGAGCTTCGTCTTTCAATGTTTTTACCCAGCTAAATAGTATTGTGCCAGTTATAAAAAATTCTTTTTTAATAATATGAATGCTCTAGGAAATGTCACTGGGATTGGTAGTATGTTTGTTCACTGGGTACTTTCATGGCCTTCTAATATTAATATAAGAACTACACATTACATTATGGACTCTTTGTAGCAACATAAGTAGCCATGCAAAAATGAACATGGCAGAAGTAAAAATACATATTTCTTACCAAAGATGTTTGCTTTCTCTTTTACCCTGTTGAAGTAGCCATGATAATGTAAAACTGGAGCTTAGAGCTACATTGTAAATTGAAATAATGATACGTGTTTATATGCTTAAAGTGTTGTTTCTTTTATGATAAGAACTAGTAGTATTACATGGAATGGGTTACAGGGATGTGACATGTCCAGCTTTGCAGCCAGGTGAATGATATACTTGTTCATACAGATGCTGGAATTGCAGTATGCAAGATATTCCAGGCAGTTAGTGTGTGGTTATGTTCTGGTGTTACTGACGTGCTGATTGAATCCTTCAGAGATCAATGTAGATGGCTCATGATAGCTCAGGAAAATGGATTGAAGTTATTTGCTGATTGGAGCAGAACCAAAGTGAAAGATTTGCCATTCATATTGTAAAGCGTGACTATGAAAGTAGGTATAATGTTTTGGCAATATATAATAGGGTAATATGTTTTGATGATTTAGGTAATATAATAGGAGATATGTAATAGAATAATTTTACTCAAGGTATTTGTTTTGGTGCAGGTCACCGATAAATGGAATTTACAAAAGTCCGACTAACTTTTAGCCTAGCCCATAAACATGTAAGAAGTGTGGTGTCTGTTAAGACACTTTTTACCCAGCCTATGCCTCAAAGTCCTATCCCATCAGATGATATTCATAAACACCGTAAAAAAGTCAAATTGTGGCTAACTATGTCATAAGACTTTTTTTATTCAGTGTAACATTTTTTGTTACAAATTTAAGTCAAGGTTGGTAGTGAATACATAAGTGCTTGGCAGGCTTAAAACATGAACTCCGAATGTTAGAGACAGAACGCGGGACGTTACTGGATATTAATTATTTAAATAAGTAAAATATGCTTAATAATACAAATCCCTATTATTAAGAAAGGTATAAGCAGGGTCTCCACCACACAAAAATATACCATAGACATCATATTTCTCTTTATATTGACTTAAGAATAAAATGTGTAATTGTTACTGCATGAGTATACAGACCCTGGCGGGATATTTTTTTTTGTATATTTCGCAAAATTGACATTGAAGAGAAAATATGACTATTTAATTAGTTCATAGTTTTCTATTCTGTTGCTTCTTCAGCCATAAAATTTCCATATGTGGAATATTTTGAGAAATTTGACACAGAAACATTAAATAGTGTTGGGATAGAAAGTAACAATATGCTGGATGTTACGGTAAAGTTTTTGTGGTTTTTTTATACCATATTTATTTAGATGACACTAAATCCTGAAATTTTTCCTAAGTTTTCTTTCCATTTTGCTTTTGTCCTTTCCCCTCACCTTCAGTTTCACAAGAGAGGTGTGGATGTTTACTTCTGTGATGTTTCCAAGCAAACAGATTGACCTAAGTGGTCTTCAGCTGATAGTCACATTCTGAAGTATTTCTACCTGGAAGGTGAAACTTAATTGTCAGTTATTTCTATAGGTCCACACTGTTGGATCCTGTACATTTCAGCGATTGGCCATCAGCCTTAAAGCCTCTTGCAGATGGTAAATAAATCACTAGCCTTACCCCTAAATCCTTAAAGGCACACCTGAAAAAGATATTTCTTACCTTATCTGACTACTGGATAACTATTCCCAAATGCCTAATTACTAACATTTTTCAACTGGACTACTTTAATGAATGTTTCGGTATCTAATGAAGCGCACAAGCCTTGGAGAAGAGTAAATCAAGAATAGTAGGTGATTAGCATGTCTGTTATTAGGTTATGTATCTAATGAAAGAAGGTACTGGTTTTCATCTTCAACCTGGGCGCCATGTTGCAATCATCATTCAACTGCCGGTCAAGGAAGTTGCTGGAGACAGAAGTAGATCGTTTGAATAAGGTAGAATAAATAACAATAGCTCATTTATTGTAGCTTGTTTAATTCCACCCCCCACCACCACAGGTAATTGGCATAGGATTCTATATGTTCCTTAAGATTTATACAAGGTTGTATTTGTAAATATATACAGTGAGTCCCCATATTATGAAAGAGATATGGTCTTGGAAATGTGTCCAGTCCATACTGTAAAGACTATTTTTCCATTGGTTCCCATGTTACAAGTGAAGATGCTTTCCAATGAACATTTTTTACGTTTACAGCTCTGCACATTTGACCCATCTACGTAATTAATAGCAAGTACACAAAAGTAACCTCAAAAACTTGTTGGCCTTTCTGTATATATTCAAGGAACGAAATACAGTGCACAATCTATAATGAAATGGGAACAGCAACAGTGTTACCAACCATTCTTATATATCATTGCATGTGCACAGGCAAGCCTGTGCTTGCTACATGACTGAAGCTTACACTAACATGATCAGAATTTCTTAGTTTGGGCTTAAATTGTTATTGCTTTGCATTTTACCCAAAATTTCCATGAATTTTGTGGTAATGTTTTATAAGTTCTGTAAGGGAGAAATTTTATTGTCTGATTAAAATTGGAAATATATTGATATGAGGAATCTCTGTCAGTTCAATAATTAATTTACCAGTTCATATTTTCATGAGTATTATGTTTTACACATGTGAAACATTCATTAAATCTGTCCTTTCATTTTAAGTTTGTGACTTCCATTATCTCATTCTATTAATGCACCGTCCAAATAAATTTCTGTCCCAACAGATGCATCAAAAACAAACAAAATTTAAAATATATCCTGAATAAAAATATAATTATTTTTATGTGTCCTAAATAGATGGATCATGTTCAAAAGATAACATTATTCCTATTCCCTACATATTTTATTTTTTGTTTTTCAGTCTGCCAGGGCCAAGCATAGAGGAAATGAGAAATACCTAAATCATTGGTTATATCGTTAATGTAGAATCGTGTGATATGTTTTTGGTGTGATGATGCGTGTTACTATTAATATTGTGTATATGTCATGTACAGTAATTCTTTTGTCTTTGTTTTTCTTGTTAATGTAAATAAATAAGCAGAACAAGCACATCATGTACAGCTGTGCATTTTTCAAATTTGTAGAGCTGATTGACTGATGGGCAGACAGATATTGCAGCACAATTATCCAATCCCCTCCTATCTGCCACCTTCTTGGTCTCGTTATGAAAAAGTAAAACACTGAACGAGAATCAATATATGTAAATTGAGTGAATGTTACATATGATTTTTCCTTACCAGCACTTTTCTCTGTAAATTGTTTATTTTTCTAAAGAGGTTTTATGGCGTAAAATATGAAACTACAGAATTTTAATGCAGTATTCCCAAATATGCTATTAAAGCTCTTTTCAGTTTATACTCTTTGAACAAGAATACTTTATGTTCTCATTGTTGGTAAATAACACTGGTTACCATTTAAAATGGGACTTAGAAATTGTGATCTTGATGGCTGTGATAATGCTTTTATTTTAACCATTATTGGATTATCAGTTTCAGCAGTGCAGAAATTTCAGCTGCTCCTTAATGAATTTTTGAGTTCAAATTCTATACCTGAATTTCATTATTTTTCTTTAGTACATGTTATCCATCTGATGTGACATATCACAAAAAGAATTTCAATCATAAACGTTCATTACTGGCATATTTTTCACTTGTTGGCCAGCTGTACAGAGAACCATGCATTTCATTCTTTAGTGTTTCTGGAAACCATACCTATCTTGATGAAAATAATACCATTAGAATTATCACTCTGTAAGTAGCAGTGGAAGTTTTGTAATGTATGGTTGTGATTGAAATTGAATGCAGTTATAAAATATAATATATTAAACAATCTTCCAGCTGTGAGTTAATTGCTTGTGTATTTCTTTTAATTTAAGGGTATTACTTAGTCTGTCAGCACACACTATTTCTGTGGCCATCCTGTGTAATGTAAATTAGCCTGTCAGAAGAATACATGAAACCAATTAGAAAACATGCCACTATTTCAAATTAGAAATTTTTAACAGCAACTAGAAGTCCCAGGTTGATAAGTATAATTACAACTATAATATGATAATTCACGGTTGAGGGGCACATATATCCTGGAGCCAGTCAACTTACTAGTTTTTGCATTGTTTTAATTTACATTAATTAGTAAAATCTTCTAAGTATTTCAGAATAGCTACATCATTGAAATTAATACTTTCCTTTGTTGATTGTAATTTAAAGATGCTGCCTGTGCAGTGTTAGTGAGAGGATAACTACTGGATATGGAGCAAGGACTTGGAGAAAACCTGCCCCATTGCTATTCCTTCCACCACAAATCCTGTAAGACCTCTCCTAGGATCGAACCCAGGCAGCCACAGTGAGAAGCCAGCAACTATTATATCTGAGCTATGTTACTGCCTTGAACAATTTATTCATATTTCCGTTATTTTCAAACAGTAGATCCCATTCAATAATGTAGCATTTCTTTTATGAATACATACACGAAAACCCCTGATTTGTGAGGCATTGATTATTTCACTTCTCATGGTATTTGTGCTTCCACTGACATTGCCAATATCACTGATATTTCTCTTGGAAGGCATCTGTGCATGTAAAATGCATAAAGGAAATAAACTTTAGAGATGTTTTCAGCACAACAGGGAGGCCTGGACTAAAGTCAGCTGAGATGTAGTATACGTGGGCTAAATGCTGAGAGCTTGCAAAGATATGACATTGAAATATATTTAAAATTAAATTCATGATAATATATTGTTCATAGCTTGACTGTGAATATGAAGGAATGGAAACATATCCTTTATAATGGCTGCACCAAAATTAATTTATTCAAAATTGTGTCAGTGACAGTATTTTATTTCAATTGGCCTTTCTCAACCTCTGACTTGAGGGGACTGGATGAACAGATTTTGATTCCCAACAGGGGCAAGAGATTTTTCTCTTTCTCATAGTGTCCAGACTGGCTCTGGGGCCCACCCAGCCCCTCCTTTCAACTTGATACTCAGGAGGATCCCGGTGGTGAAGAGGCAAGTGCATGGAGCTGACCGCTCAGTTACATTTGGTGCCAATATTAAGATTGGTGGAGCTATATCTGCCCTCCTCAATATGCCCTCATGGTGTAGTGCTTAATTATATGTATTTTTTTTCCTTGTCACTATAGCCCCAGTGGGCCTAGGCCTACCTCCATGAACTTCTCCGTTCACTTCGGTTTTTCTAGATCTTACACATTCGGTAGGACTCCTTGGGCGGGTGATCAGCTCATCGCAAGGCCTCTACAATTATATGTATAATTAAGTACAGGTATAACTTTACCTTCTGTGCCATAGTAACCTGTATGTTCTTTTGGCACATAAAATTTAGAAAAGAATGTAATTAAAACTGTTCAAATTAAGTTTTGACATTTTGAAAACGCAAGGAGAGCAGATCTTCCTAAAACTGTGTGGCATGTGTAAGACGAATCTGAGAAGTTTTCACGTGTATGTGTGCTTTGTAATGATTGTATTATCATAAATATTTTCATTGATATTCAGATTTTGTGATTCCTTTGACAGTCATACCATGAAATTTAATTTATTGGTAACTTTATTACCAGTGCTTCTTTTCTGGCAGTAACATTGCCTTTTTAATAAAAAATCTATTACTAAAAATAAATTAATAGTGTACTTGACCAAGATCACATATTGATTATCATGTCAAATGTGATCAACATGATACATATGACACATTTGAAAAATAAGGTAGAAGTGGGCTTGAAGTCAGTTTTGCTTCAGGAATAGTGATGCATTTTGTCCAGAAGAGAAGAGCTGGTTACTACTTTAGGTACAATTTTGAACATGTGGCAGTAAGGAAGTCTTCATTCGTACACTCACAATTTGGCCACAGGTAATAAAGGACGTTTAAGTTCATAAACAGGTTATACTGGATTTTGTATTGCATCAATTTCAGTACACAACATAAACTGTGTAGAGCTTTAGCAGCATAGTATTAGGTTCAGAATGGGTTGAAAATGTTTGTTAAATTGCTGTCGTTTTAAAACATCTTTGCTATGGTATGTAATATGGTTTCTATTGTAAATATTGTAGAGAATCCGATAAAATAACCGTTACAAGAAATATCGATGCAAATCAATATTTTTGTGATTTCTGAATGACTCCTTACCTAAAAAGGTGTTACAGTTTGCTCTCTCTGATAATGTGCTGTAGAAGTTCTTTTATAGTTTGTAAAATCCACAGGAGATGGTAAAAGTGAAGATAACTAGAATTGTATACAATAAAATAGGTAGGATGATGACTAAAATGTATGTGTTCCCCAGTGAAACTTTAGATAGGAATTGTTAGTAAACTCAATATGCATACTCAATGTTCCCTTTGCATTGCAAATAGAAGAATTTATTTTATTTCACTTGTTTTTTTTTATGTTGGCATTCTGAACCATTTCTACAACGGTTTCGCACAATATTATGCAGTGTTCTACAATCCCGAGAACCTTTCAGAGTTGCACTTTTGTAAGTATATATTTAAAAACTCACTGCTGTGAATACAAAGAAATAGCATTTCTTGAAATGCTAAAGATCTGCAGACATTAATTTAAGTAATAAATTTTGAGAGTTTGTGAAATATTTTAAACTTCAGAATATTACATTATGTGTTATATTACATGCAGTTATTTCCACTTAGTAAAATTAATCATTATGACGTGAGGGCATGCATAGAGCACAATGAAGTTCCATATTATGGGGTTTTTAGGCATCATTTTGTTGTGCCTAATGTAGCAGAAGTGTATCAGAAAAGTTCTTAAGGGTGATACACATTAAATTCTAAGAATATTAATCAATCAGCTTTGCTTACATGAGATCCGCAGTGCTATGAGACTACCAATGCCTTTATCACAGCATCATTTAATAATGGTTTTCGTCTATCAGATTTCTAATATAATTTTCGTTATGGTTTCACGTATGACACTGTCTAGTGAAATCAATAACATGAAATTACAACCTGGTATTACTATATTGTTTATACAGATGACGATATTGGAATGGATTTTCTTGAAGTTGTAAGCTGGGGTGAGGTGCTGTATAATCTGGCGGGTAGGTATCAACATTCTGGAGGACTCTTCTGACTCCATCTTCCACCAAGAATACAGAGGTAACATGATCTCCAAAATGTTAGTACCTATCTCTCAAACTACATGGCTTCTCATCCGGATAATAATCTTCATAGTCAATCTTACGAGAACCTTCAATTCATGTGGACTTTCTTGTTCTATTTTAAGTTTCCTGGCCATTACACACACACACATACAAATAAGAAGAATGTTGCAAAACATTCCAATAAGGTTAATTTTTATTTTGAGGGAAAAGAGACAATATAGATCAATGTCAAGATATGCATAATCACCTGTTTTACACAGTATTACCAGTAAATTTAATCTATATGACTTCCATTTGATATTGTGTAAGTCATCTTAATATAATTTCATGCTATAAACGTAGATGAGCATCTGTATCTTACAAAATTTATTAAGAAACATATCCCAAAGTACCGGACATCATAGTTATAAATATTTTCAGTTTACTGATTCTTAGAAGCTATAAATTTATACTCTTCTTACAGAGTGGTAAAGAGTTCTGTTCAATTACTCATACCTGAAGTGACATCAGACATTATCTTTTTCTCTTCTTCACATTGCAATCATCTCTAAGTTGACTGTAGTTGTCAGACATCTGTTGGTTCTTACCCCATAAAGTTCAGCTAAACAAATGCTTCCATGACAGTGCAAAATGTGTAGCTTAAATGAATGCTTATAACTAGTAATTCAGTGTTCTGCACTGATTGCGTTACTTCATAAATAGAAAATTGTGCACAGAATCAGTGCAGAAGAATTTTTCTCTGAACCGATATGTTTCCTGCACCTTACTTCACCTCTCTTAGTTACCGCAATCAGGATAAATATTGTACAAAGGTGTGATATAACTTATATGTATATACAAATATAAATACCATATGAGATTTCTGTTATTAGTATCATTACTGTTAATGGTATTACCTTTGTTAACGGTATGAAGCACATTATTTCATAAGAGAACCTTGTTGTATCAGCAACATGTAGCATATTTACAAAACCATAGAGGTGTTTGTGTTTTTCCTTATTTTATTAATCATACAGTATGGTTCCATTATCGTGTGTTTGCCAAAGAGTTCCAGCACTAGTTGTGATTACAACTAAGAGTCACTAAGGTCTATGAAAGTTGAACTGTATGAGAAAGATTTTTGTCATTATTTGAGTTAAAACGTGTGTACGTATGTTTTCTGAGGAAGCAACTAGTGAAGATATGAAAAAGTGTCCAAATTTTACATTGTATATTTCCTTTGGGGATGTGATTGTTGCGCAGATATTATCTTCATCGATTGATGGATTGGTACATGCAAAAACTGGTAACTTGGATTCAGCTAAGTCATGTCAATAAGTGAAGAAGTAACTTAAATGTGTCACCAGTAAAAAATAAGTACCTCACATCTCTGCAGTCCAAATCAGTCAATAAACAACCTTGAAGCTTTTATTACTATTGTTATCTTTCTAGTAATTTCATATTTCCATCAAATCATTTCACCTTCATCCTTTACATACTGCTACATTAAGTAGTTCTGACCCTCTTCAGCAAACCTGATCCCTTTGTGTAATTTATAGTATTTAATTCTTCTTCAGTCCATTTATTCAAGTTTGGAGAGACCTAGAAGTTTCTGTACCATATATTGCTGTTTGTAGTAGTGATGAATGCTCTGCCACATGTAGTAGTATCAGTGAAGTATTCTTCAGTCATGTTTTCTCTTTCAGGATTTGGTGTGTGCTTC